CTCGCGGTTATTGGTCTATGAAACAATTACGCTTTCGTTTTTCACCACATGGAGACCAATTCGTCTGCTTCTTGCCCAAGAGTTCCGGTGACGTCAGAACGACATCGACCTCTGATTGGCTTCGATTGAAATCCTTTCAATCAAAGCCAATCAATGGGTAGACCTAAATGCTAAATGCCTTCACGTCTACCCACTATTCTTGTTTTAATCATCCAATGAGAATTCGGCGTTCTGACATGGAGTCGATTACATGCCGCCAAGGTTCACCACAGCCACGCGCTGGGGTTGACAAAGCAGAGGACATGCGCTGAGTTCCAGACATGGTTATGATTCGGTTATTTTGTCATTGCAGCGATGGGGCACGAGCCGCTACCCGAACGCTTGTGGAGCCATCGATTATCGCGAGCCCAAATTGAGTGCTCACGCTATGCTCGGGTGCAATCTATGGGCCCCATTCAAATATCGTCACTGGGCGGCCATGGGACCGCCCAGCTACGTCATCAAGTTTTGCGAAGGAGAAACTGAATGAAAACGTTCGCATTTATCCTTGAAATTACACCGCAACAAAGGTGTTTCTTGGTCGGTGGCGCTGCGTGCGAGTATACTTGTGCCCCAATAGTGCCAGTAAACTCGTGTAAAGGGAAAAACATTCCAAGCGAATATCGTTGCACGGCCCCCTGAGTTATTTCACGCAAATGAACTATTTATTGACTGACTTTAAGCTGTATATTTTTTGTGTGTTAACGTGTGCAAGTAAATGTTTTTACAAAAAATAGGTATATATATATATATATTTTTAACCTTGCACCGAACGAATTGATTTGATAACCTAATAGTTTATTATACACCATTTTATGTTAACACGCGTTTTTCTCTCATGTACATTTTATTTTTGACGAATGTCAAGGAACGCTCGACCTAAAGACAAGAGGAACATTCCTGGCCATCCTTCAGTTTTTCCGCGTTGCATACTTTTGTCTTTTCGCTTTTAACCTTTTGATACGGTTCGTTCCCGCGTTTTTCTGCGACACCTTTAGAGGAAAAAGACGTTTATGCGGGCAGCTGTTGTAGAAGTCAGCGACTTTGAACTTTTCAACCTCCATTTGTTCTGAGACACAAATTCAAGTATGGCCCGGGCTATAAAGATTTAAATATATATATATATATATATATATATATATATATATATATATATATATATAGGGTTGTTTTTTTTAAGCTTAACAAATTTGTTTAAAAAAGCCGTGAAAGTTACACTTATGCCGCTTGTGGAGGTGAGTTATACGGCCAGGGGGACATATAATAGGGGGCTAAGCGTAACGATCAGTTGGCTAATTAACTAAAATTTTATAATTAAGTTTTTAATCAATGAAAATAGACATATGGTTCCAAATAGAAACTTGCTCAGCGTCATCAAAAACCACTAAATAAGTCATTTTCAGAAAGACTTTCGGCGCGTGAGAAGCGTAGTATTGTACTAAAGTTACCACTCGTGGAGCAGGTACAAGGCTGGGGCTAGATAAGAGACGGAAAAATCGCGCGGGCGCCTTATCGCAACCGCTAGCTTTGTACCTGCTCCACGAGTGGTAAATTTAGTGCACTACTACACTTCTCACGCGCTGAAACTCTTTCTGAAAATTACTGATTTAGTAGTTTTCGATAAGGCTGAGCAAGTTTCTAATTGAAACCATATGTCTGTTTTCATTAATTAAAAAGGTAATTAACGAATTTTAGTTCATTAGTCGACTGACTGTTACGATTAGCCCCCTATAATATGTCCCCCTGGCCGTATAACTCACCTCCACAAGCGGCATAAGTGTAACTTTCACAGCTTTTTTTAAACAAATCTGTTAAGCTTAAAAAAAACATCCTATATATATATATATATATACCCGTTACGAAAATACCCTTTTTACAAGGTGTTCGTCGGACTTTGAGGATATTATAATGGAGACAAGAGTCAAGATCAGTTGGCCAGTTAACCAAACCTTTCAAGTTCTTCATTACTTATTCATTTTACAAGAAGAGTGTGTATTGCGTCAGTCGGTATTAAAGGAAAACTAATCAATAGAATGAGTAAAAAAGCATCACGATTTGAAATATTCATCAACCTTTTCTTTTTGCGTTTTTCTTGCTCGCTTTGGACCCCGCCAGCAATGAAGCGTTGAAAGCTGCTTGTTACGAGAATTTCGTCGTTTTTTCTGGAAGCTGTCCTTGGTGCTCCCACCATTGGCAAGCTACCGAGATACGAACGACGTTCCCGCCACGAGTACGTCACTGTGGCAGAGCTTGCGGCGCTCCTTCTGTGTCCAGTTTCCAAACAGGCGATAAAAACGTAAAAAAAAAAAAAATGAAACAACCAACAAAGATTGATGATCATATTGAAGCCCGTATTATGTATGATACTTTTATAAATTGGTCTTGCCTGCAATAATGACTACCTTCAATACTACAAATGCGAAGTGGTCCACAACTAATAAAGATTAATTTATCTATTTCATTTAATTCGCTAACTCATAGTGTCTCTGTTTGCCTCTTCTAATGTCCACCGACAACACGCAGCGAAGACGGCGTCCTCGCGCAGGTCACCCCATTCTTTTTTATCTGTATCAAATAAAAAACAATCCTTCTTTACATTATAAGACAGAGTGCGCGGAAAGAAATATATTTTAATAGTTAGACGGGGGAACAAAAAAAGAAAAAAACTGGCAAAAATCTCGAATTAGGACCAGGAATTGAATTAGCAACGCCCGTTTATTCTGGGGCACAAAGCTGTAATCAGTTAGGCCGTCCCGATCACTGATTGCAGCCGGGTCTCCTCTGATTAGATACGTTTCATCCCGTCGAATTCATCGGTCAGATGGAGAGCGCCGAAGAGCATGCCGGGTTAGCGTGAATCCGCGGTCCCTCTGCTCGTATTGTATACAAAGAACAGTCTACACAATGTGTCTGAAGCGTGTTTCTTCCTTGTCTGACCGTCACAATGTATGACCGTAACACTGTCTGTCGACGTGTTAGAAGCATAAACAAAGCAAACGTGTTTTGAACCTTCTCGAGGCGTGTCCGAAGATGATTTTGTTGTAATGTTTGCACAGAAACTTCGTGTTTTTTCGTACGAAGTACGAGCAATTCGAATGCGATTTAGTGGAACACATATCTAGCGCCTCCTTCGTGCCATCAAATGTTTTAGTTAGGCGCCACGCGGTTGAATATTTTCTCCAGATTGCCTGTGGATCGAATATCTTTAGTTTCGTCAAATTTCACACACCCGATGTATACGTATCACTGGTAGCGTTTTCCCATATTCATAAGCGTGACGGGGTAGTGTAATGTCGACACACCTGTTACCGGTATCCGGGGTAACAACCAGGTTTTATTCCCGTGCCGGGCATATACCGTCTTGTTGTTTTTTTTGGTTTATATATATATATAGTTTAATTTAGTTCAATTAGTACAGTTGACACGGCTACATATCTGGATTGTTAACTCTCAGCGAACTCCGATCAACGCTTTTCTACAAAAAAGCACAGATCGCAAAGGAACTTGCGTGGATGCAGTCATGGGGCGGTTTTATAGGTCAGGCCCGAAGAAAAAAAAAAAGAAAAAAAAAAGGTGGTGGTCGGGGGTAGGAGGGGAGAGGGAGGGAAAGATTTGATAACTTGGACGAATCGTTACCTTGGTCTATAGTGTTGACCTACTAAATGCCATGGTACCAAAAATACCATTACATTTTTGTAACTTGGTGTATAAACTTGTTTTCATAAGAACTAAGCTCACCTTGGTGGCTGGGGGGGGGGGGGGGGGGAATCTGCCCTTGATGGCTGGCACCTGTTTGTGCGAGCTTCTATTGCCGCAGAGCCTATATATATCGTTTCGCATAGGTAAGCACTTACTTCGTTGCGCATAACTGACTTTTTTCTTTTTTTTTTTAAGAATAACCTTACGGTTTTAGGTATTCATTGATCCTTAACAAAAGTCGATAAACCTGTAAGTTTTTGAAATACATAGAGCGCGTAAAGAAGCGTGAAGGTGCGCAAAGCTTACCGCTTGTGCTGCAGGCACAAGGCTGGCGGAGCGAAAACAAGGTTAATAACAGACGGGGAAAAAAAGCACAAATGCGTCGATGTTGAACGCATTTTGAAAGTCCAGAAGGACGCAGCACGGGTTACGAGTTCCAACCCCTTCTGTAATGTGATGTGTTCGGCTAGTTGGTTTAAGGTGCACATTTTGGGGAAAAAACAGCGGCAAAGAAACATGGACAAGAGTAAAGGAACAAACACGACAGGACGGCGCTGACCTCTATAATGCTTCTATAACGCACTGATAAATTTTTTTCTAAAAATGTCCAGCAACCTAATTTTTGTAATTAAATAGTCCATCGCCATTATGAATAAGGTAATTATTCAAACACTAGCAAGACCTAATTCCTTTAAACGCTATGCACCTAAATATATAGGCCCCATAAGAATGACCAACCCGGTATCGATTTTTTTTCCCTATGAGATACGTAGCTTTTTTTTTCTTTTTTCAATGGCAGCATTTTTTAGTACTTTGTTCGAAAGAGAGAGAAAGATAAAATAAAAAAGTAGAGAGAAAAAAGAAAACGAGGAAGATAGATGTGCACATAAGAAAATTCAAGACAAAAAAAAAAAAGAAATGAAACTATTAAGAGGTAAATAGAAAAACAGAAAATATTAAAATAGTAAAAGAGCTAAGATTAGACAGAGGGAGAGAAAGATTGAAAGAGAGAAACATAGGGAGTTAAAATTATGTAGGAATAATCAACACAACCATAAAACAACACACGCCGGTAAGGTGGTGGCTCTGACAGTTCCCCTAGTTCTAGTCACTATTTGTGTCTACAAGTTACCACTCGAGATGAACGTGCCAGAGCCGTTTCAAGGCGGCGACAAACTCAGCTCTCTCTGACAGCTTGCCGAGTGACTTCGGATGAGAAGTTGATTTGTGTGCGCGTGGCAGGTAGGAAACCGTTGACGCACCTGAAAGATGTAGCTCTCGTCGAAGACCGGGTTGCACGTCTTCTTCTTGAACTTGGTTTGCTGGTAGCGTCGCTCATCCGGCAGCAATTGAATCCTGACGGTGAATAAGAAAAGCAATCGGGATTTCAACGCAAACTCGTGTTTCTACCTTTGACTCAAAAAAAATATACAAACACCAAATTTTTTTTCTCAATCTGATGTGAAGAAAAGGAAAGGGGTGTGCTTCCCCGCAAAATTACTATTTGAAAGGGAAAGCCAACTCAACAAAGACGCGTAATAAAAAGGGTTTTCTTTTTTTTTTTTCTTTTTTTTTTTCTAAGCCTTTTTATTTTTCCGCCCTGACGAGGACGTGCTCGAATCACTGCGCACTTACACGGACAATTCGCAACACCATCGGCCGACAAAGACCCTCTGGATGACCCCGAAACCAAGCCTTTCAAATATCTGCCGAAATTACCAACATCAACGGGTCTTCGTCTTCCTCGTCTTTTAACATCGAGAGAAGCTGCTGCTGCGACGACATAAACCTCCGGGCCAAAGACAGGGGCTATTGGACGTCATGTTCATCGAAGCCAACAGCCATTACAAATCACACCAGAATCCCGCCGGTGACGCAGTATCGTCACTTCATCTCGGCTTTATTCTTTCTCCGCCCGCGGACTCGCGCGGCGGAGACACAAGGGGACTGACCAACGCTACCATCATCTAATTGTGTCTCATGAAACATCGTCACCATGTAGCCGAAAACCGGTCTCTAGCCTGTCCGTCCCCCAGCCCTTAACAGACTACAAGATAATCGAACGATAGGCGCGGTCTTCAGCCTGTTTTCTGTCTACCATCAAAATCTACTCTTCCATGAATTGACACGTTCTGACTGTTACGGTCATAGACAGAAGACTGGGTATCAACGAAGTATCTTATCACGGCGAATGACAAATTTAGCTTTTTACAGCAACCGTTTCCTTTCTCTTGAAGTTTTAGACGTGGAACCTCTCCATCGCGCCAGGACAAGCGTATTCACTGCGCTGGGCGTCATGGGCCGCTAAAGCTTGTTTATGTCAGATTAAATGTTTGTTGTTGGTTTTTTAACCGAAAACCGACCGCATAATTCGAACAGATAATAACTGGGACGCATTTCTTTTTAGCGTTGCATATACGCACTTTAAAGGGATACTTCAACGATATTTGAAATATATCCGTCGTGTTACAAAAAAAAAGTGGAATATGATCCACAATATCCGTAAATGACAACGCGTTTGTATGTTGAGCCTGGTGGCTGTATTTTTCGTCATAAACGACCCACTCTGGCAAGCGCTCGAAGAGCAGCAAGTGGAGAGTACGTGACATCCCCCGCAATTGTGACGTAATTCGTCTCGGGACGAACTTTGTCAGCTGCGGCAGGCTGACGTCGAAAGGATGTCGTAGTCGTTCCAGCCACCGAAGCGGTTGCTTTCGCACGAATTTTGATTGACGGGTTAATCCTCTATAATCTTGTAGAGGGACAATAGCGACTTCTGGGACACACAAAAAAGATTCTCGGGAAGAGGGGAGTTCTTCCTTCTCCTCTTCTTTCGTGGTGACCGGAGGCGAGACAGTTATTGTCACTACCTGTCAAGGTTCCTGGATGGGCATTGCAAACGAGGCGTTAGTGACATCCACCAGGGTCTTTTTGCTAATCGTTTAAATCGTTTTAAAATTCGTTTTGTTTCATTTTTAGCAGGATATCGGTGTGTCCGATGTGATACTGCTCTTTTGAATACATGTAGACTAAAAAATAAGCCCGGAAATTTCGTTGCAGTATCCCTTTAAACCGACCGCATAAATCTGTTTTTTAACTTATCGCGCTGGGATTTACTACAGAGGTGATCGAAGTTGGGGAATTTATAAATTAAGAGTAGGAATAGATTAAACTTCTAAAATAAAAAAAGGTGGTTTTGTTTTTGGAAAACTTATCGCTATGCCTTTTTTTTTTCTTAAAATCATTAAAAAATCATTTTGGGCTATTATGGCGTTTACTGTGACTGAAAAGTTTGTGACATGGAAAGGAAATATAATTGGCTTCCCTACTCTTCACTTTATTTCGCTCAAATAAGCGCCACAGTAACACAAAGTATGTTTTTATATACATGCAAAATATATAAAAATATAGTTTTTGCTTTTTCATGATTTACTCGGATGAGTCAATTTTTCCACAATATTAGAGAAATCTTCCACCACCTTCAGGCACCACTGTAGTAAATCCGAGTGCGATAAGTTAAGAAACCGATTTATGCGATCAGTTTAAAATGCGTCCAATCCATTTCGCTCACGCTGTAGTTGGTGGCAGCCTAATGCCCGTGTCCCACTAGAGCGACAGACAGAAACAAAATACAGCGACAAGCCTCAAAGCCATGCAGCAAGCTCGCGATAGTACCTTTGGCAGGCGTTTAGCTGTTCGGTGCTCGGGAAGTAAGCACGAGCGAGTGCAAGTCTGCCAAGAATACCTTCGCGCGCATGATGCTCGTGTTTGAGCATAGCCTCCTTTATTCTACAAAGCCCCTCAAATCGCGAAAATCTCTTGTTTGAGGCTCGTCGCTTTTGTGGGTTTCTGTCTGTCGCCCTAGTGGGACATGGGCATGAGAGAGCAGAACGCGGCCAGTCTCGCGCACCTTAATACTGCTCCGCAGTCTGAGCAACTGCGAACTTAGCCCATCAGAACGCCGTTGAACGGACCACCAAGCAAAAAGCGCGAACATACGAAACCACGCCACGTCTCAGGGCCCTATGCTACACGGCGGGACCAAGCGGGGCAGAGAGTTCGGGACATGGCCGCCGCCTATGATGGGTCAGGGGTGCGGCGATGACCAATCGCACTCGCCGGCGTTGGCCTACAGTAGGTGACGTAGGACATGACGCACTAGGTCTAAAGATATTTTTAGCTTGTTCATTCGCCAAACTCCGCTAAAGATTGTGGCGGTTGGCTCTGCCAAATGTGTTGCGGAAAAGAAGACATTCCGTATTTCATAAGTCGCGGTTAAGCTACTGATACACCATACAAAAGGCAGTTTGGAGACGCCACCTGAGGCGTACTTCTTTCATGTATTACGGTCACAATGGTCATACAGAAAACTGTCTGTAAACATGTTTGAGGCATGCATGTGTATAAAACAAACATGCTTAGAACATGCATGAGGTGTATGCGCAGACAGTTCAGCCATCGTGTTTGCAGCGAACAGTGTGGCTTTAAGAGCGTCTATGCTGCCCCATCGAGTTTCCCACGAGCTGCAGCAGCCACCCACCTGACGAAAGGGTCGCAGCAGTTGACCGATCCGCACACCCTCGAGGGCAGGTTCCTCGCCTTCAGCACTCGGAGCTCGAGGCTCTCCCTGGCGTCCTCGTAGTGGAGCGCGAACCACAGGCGGCCCCGGTGGCTCTCCGGGAACGAGCGCTCTTCGCCGTCGTCGGGGCCCCCGAAGGCGCCGTCGCCCGACGACACCCGGTACAGCTCGGGGTTCAGACCGCCCAGCAGAGACGTCGCTGTAGGAAAAAAAAAAGTGTATTCATATTTAGTGTTTTTTTTATTTTTTATCCCTCCATAGCTCTGCCATAATCACTCGATGAATTCGCTTTACAGTGTTTGTTCTTCATATATACGATATATAATTTCCTATGATATTCGGGGTACGAAAGAACGAAACCAAGTTTTCCATGCTTGCTCGAGAGTTGTTTATACACAATTAAAGCAATGAATTTTAAACTTTTGTGCTGTAACTGACAGCGTAAGCAACTCAGGGCATGGCGTGTACCAAGTGTTTTTTTTTTTTGTCGCTGCGCAACCATTGAGCTTGCTGCGTGAGCCGATGACGGTGCCAAACAACGAATCACGTAGCAAGACGCATAATTAACCACGTCCTACGTTTCATAAACTGTCATTTGTTATAGAAACTTGTCTAAACTACATTCTAGCAAACAATAAGAACGTTCACTTTATTCGGGCGCACTCTAAAGTCTGTGCGTCTACTTTCACGCACAACACCTTGGAGAGCCAATCACCGCAACTTACGGAGGCAGCTCAGCGAATGACAATGCGGAAACATAAGTTTAGACCAAAAAACGCAGTCTGAGTTGTGACATTAGGCAATGCAAAACGTCACGCTTGCATTGCTTAATGTCACAACTCAGACTGCGTTTTTTGGTCTACACATATGTTTCGGCATCGTCATTCGCTGAGCTGCTTCCGTAAGTTGCGGCGATTGGCTCTCCGAGTGTTGTCCGGGAAACTAGACGCACAGACGTTTTTAGAGTGCATTCTAAAAACGCGCCTACTGATTATGCGATAGCATTATCAGTAGGCGCGCATTTCTCGGACGCGCGGTGCCAGAGCGTGGTGTCTTGCTACGTCACTCTGTAACAACTGCGAAGACACATATTGTTCTCTTTGAACTGTGTGCCTTTAAACACTGAACTTGGGGGTGCCGTTTGTGCTTCACCTTTAGGTTGCATAGTATAGAAATTAACGGGTACAGTTTTGTTTTGTGTCAACATTTTTGGAAAAAGACGCTTCTGTACTGCGGAAATCAGTTTTCCTCGAAATAGCGTTTAGTAAATTATCTGCTGAGCACGAGAACGGTTTCCAGTGCTGTTCGATTGTAAATCCGTATTTGGCAGCTTTGATCACGCAGTTGTGATTCCACGCTGTGTCATGTTGAAACTGGCAGGAGTGAGAAATCGGTCGCCGAACCATTCAAAATGTACTTCGAATTTTTAGAGCGCAGCTCTTAGGCGTCCGTTTCCGGGTTGAGCGGCGTCGGCGTAATTGCGCGCGTTGCATTTGGGACGTTTTCCCGCTAAACTGAGCGGAGAAATTTTCCCGCTACATTTTGCAGGGAAGCTGACGTCCCGTCACCTCAACACCAACTCAGTTTCCCCGCTAAATTTAGCGGGGAAAATGACGTCAGGACTTCGTGTCACGTGACACATGAACAAATTCAACGGCAGGAGGAGAGGAGGATTAAAGGAGGAGGAGGAGGGAAGGAGGAGAGCAGGGGAGGGTACGTAGGAAGAAAAGGGGCATACCCTCGTCTACGTACCCTCCTCTCCTCCTCCTCAAGAGCTGCGCTCTAATTCAGCATTATAGAGAACTGTAAACGCCTTTCATTTTCTATACTCATAATATGGGACAAAAAATCATTTGTCAATACAAATATTGTGGACATTCGAAGATGACAAAACCTTTTATCTAATTTTTTCGCAAATATATATTTTGTTTATTGTGGAATTATACTTTCAATTTTCATACATTTCTTACGTATAAAGAGGGCATTCAAGACACTGCGTTGTTCGGTCGTCCATTGTAGCGCGTCAGCCACTGACGCAAGTGCCGTACATATTGCGCAGAACCGTTGAGCCAACACATTTACATAATTGAACGTGATTGAAATCTATAAACCGGGCTCTCCAAGGCGTCGGACAAAGCAGGCATTCCACGTGTAAGTTGATGATGAAAGCGAGAGCTTCTCACTTATGCTGAAAGGCGATTATTTGATTTCCCGAAACTCGGAACGCGTAAATACGCTTTTGGAAAGCAGACGAACTCATTATGCGATCGTAGGACGCTAGGACAATAGATCCGGACCTCGATTCCGAGCTCTTGTTATCTTAGTAGTGGGGCCGTAGAAAGTTTTGCCGTTTGCCAAGTTATACTGAAATAACATCGGGATGATTAGATAGCGGACCATTTCGAAGAAAGTGTATTGCGGATAGAGCTGTATATGGCCACTACCAACTTAAGAATTATATTTACGTATATTTACGCTTGGGATTCACAACGTTCAGGGTTTCTTAAATTGTCGGCGTCCGTAGCTGTAACGCGTGTGTCTGATAGGTTCTATCATGTACGTCAACGCTGTATTTCCACGCTGCAATAGCTGAATGCCTCCATCGCTTTACCATCCATGCAAGAGTGGCGAGCCACTGAGCTGTGAACGCGCGAACGGCGTCTGATAAACCGTTTTTGATTAAAAAAAATATATATATCTGTGCTGTTTATTAAAAAAAAAAAAAAAAAAAAAAGAAATGTTTGCGGGTTTTTTTTTTGTTTTTTTTTCGCGGAGCGCGGAGATAGCGAATCACCGCTAACGGCAGAAAAAATCGCAGCGAATTACGGGACAGAGAAAACGTCTTTGTCCGAAAATGCTATACTCTCACATGGAATTTCTACGGAGAACCATGCTTTCTACCTCATTATTCGCTACGCTATATTTATTTATTTTTTATGCGGAACGCGATGATTGACTGAATGTGTGTTCTGCAGGAAACTAAGACTCAAGGGCCTCGTTAAAAAGAAGTGCGGCTGTTACTCGAGCAAATACGGTATCGTCACGAACGGAACAATAGAGAGTTTCAGGGAATCGTTTTGCACATACGACGTGGTAGGATGGGCCCTCCGGTACGAACTGCGCATGTGCGAGTCTTCTGCGGTCGCGCATGCGCAGTGCGTACCGCAGGGCCCATCGTACTGGCGGAAGTGCAAACACGGCTCCTTTAAGCTCCCTAATGATGAAAAAACGTAAAACCGAACACGAATTTTTTAACGAGGCGAAGTTGTGTCTCTAAGCTCAAAGAGAAAGGTTCCAGCATCTTGCATCATCGAAGGAAAGGCGAACTATCCTGCCGAACTAGGGTGACCACCCGTCCCGCGACACGCGGTACTGTCCCGAATTGAGGGCTCGTGTCCCGCGTCCCGCGAGAAATTCCAAAATGTTCAAAATGTCCCGCCTTTCAGGTTTTCGTGAAATTCGCTCTGCAACTAACGGTACTGCCGAACAACGGGGCACGGGGAAGCGCGGAAGGCGCTGGTAATCGTGTGAATCGCAATGGTACGACATTTTTTATCCAAATATTGCGGGAAGCGACCGTCGTTCTTGCAGGAGAACCGACGCGTGTGCGCCGTTGTGCCTCTCCCCTTGGTGGCAAAATATTGTAAGAGAAAATTGCTCCCCAAAAGTTTAAATATAAATGATTGTAACTAGTTTCACATCGTTGTTTCAATGCGAAAGGTTTGCTGTGGAAATTTCTTTTTAGGCGAAGACCGCTACACAAGGCAAGAAGCCTGCCACTCACAACGGTCGAAAAAGAACACAATGTTAAAAAATGGAATCAGCGCGCAAATTACGAAGACACAAGGAAGAGAAATTGACAGGACAAGCGCTGGACTTCAACTGAACGTTTATTGAAAATTTTTTTCAATAAACGTTTTGTTGAAGTCCAGCGCTTGTCCTGTCAATTTCTCTTCCTTGTGTCTTCGTAGTTTGCGCGCTGATTCCATTTTGTAACGATGAACCAACTCGCCTGCATTGCCACTTTGATTCACAATGTTAAAGATGTGCGTATAATTATGTCGATAAAAGTAAGCGTTGAAAGTAAGCAATAACCCGAAAAAAATTTACTGTTCCTTAATTTCATTTGAAGCACCGAGTTCTGCTGTAGTTGACTTTTATGTCTGCAACTTCGACAGATTTAAAACAAAAAATATATCACTAGAAAATAAACCTTTTTTTTTAGCTTAATTGTTGCAATACAATTTGCGAGTGTATAAACAGCACAGGATAATAAATGTGTTAACAGAGCCTCGGTTCGTGATGTGCGTGCTCAGGGATGCGAAAAATACATGCAAATATGTATCGAACTACAAATACAAATTACTTCGTCAAAAATGTATTTAATTACAAATCTAATTACAATTCCAAAAAAAGTATTTAAATACAAGATACAAATACAACCAAATGTATTTGGTCTCCTCTAAATACTTTTCCAAATACATTCCTCAAAATTTGCGTCAGCGACTTCAGGGCACCTGCAACGGGTTTCTGGGTATCTCATTTTAATTTTGCATTGCACACTCGGAAGTTAGTGTGCGAGGCTCTAGTAACGTAATAGAAATATAATCACAAAAAAAATTTAATCAGCTTGGACGTAATAGGTGAAGAAAGTACAGAGCTTCAAGCAGCTTTTTTTTTGTCGATTACTTTTTGGTATAGACCAACAAAGAACCGAGACGACCAAGACGCGCAGCACTAGCTAGAGGATTTTTTATTGTTGCAACTCGCACCAGTTACAAAAATCTGGAACATTTAGAATGTCCCAGGCAAAAATATGGAGGGACATCAGGCTGGAAAGCATCACAAGTTGTCACAGGCACCTATTTAGCCAGTCTGCCTGTGAGACGTTCTCTGTGTCTGTTTGCTGCGATCTTTTTATTGTTCGCCGTGACTGAGCGTCTCCGCGTTCTTCAGAAAAGTGAACTAACATACTTTTTGTTTCAGTGTAGCATACAATGAAACAGCACACACCAAGACGTCTAAACAGCATAGCGAGAAACAAGGACACGTGAAAATTGCGTGCAATGAAGCAGTATAATGTCAAAAGCAGCACGTGTGTAGAATGTACTTAAAATTGAAAGGATAAAAAACACAAAAGACAAGGACGAGACGAGAACAACTTTTCGTCCTTTTTTAATTTTAAGTATCGTAAACATT